TTCGAGATGGCACCTCAAGGCCAGAGGTATTACACATGGGCTCCCACTGGTTGGTATGTATCCTATTGTTCCACTTCTAAATTTTTGAGCTTCCACTGCTACTGGAGGAAGTTTCCCCACTGACCACTGCTAAATATTGGCGTCGAGAAATGCAATTGATGACCTGTTCTCGAACGTAAACCACTGTTTCTTTGCTATTTCTTGCTTCTTCACTGCTTAGAGCCTATCTTCCTTCACTACAAATTTTACTGAGACTTTCTTTATCACCTCCGAACTTCTGATGCCGAAAGAACATCACTTGCAAATCGATGTCTATATGCTTCCAGTCAGGGAGCAGACTTTTATGCTCAGCAAGCTAATTCTTTTCAGCTGCTATCACTTTTAGCATTCGAACAGAGGCTCATTGGAAGAAGAGCCTCTTCCCAGGCACGTAACAAGCCATCAGCATTAACTTACGGATGAGATCCAGACAAACGTTACCCTACCCGAATACGTACCGACCCAAACACGTCGGAAGGTATCTCTACGAACAGAGGGGTGATACCCAATAGTACGCAAGTCAACCACTGGACATGGAACTGTATAGATAGGCAATAAAAGACCTTCGTCGTGATACTTTCACTACCTTCTCTAACTCTCGTGCTGTGAATGTCGTCATCGGAGTACAATAGCTATCAATCGCAGGGGAACAGCTTCATCTGCCGCGTTACCCTAGCTCAATTACAATCTGAACATTTTAGAGCGTCAAACCCCTACTTGTCCAAACTAGAACCCGACGTACCCAATTTACATATGTCCGACATGTGGAGATTCCCCACATGACACCAATTATCTCTCTCCGTACCAAATCTACTCAACTCACACTCCTCCTCGTCTGGGTCGGACCAGTCGAAAAAGCACGTTGCCGACAACGATTAAAGGACTATCCGGTGACAGGTAATAAGGTCCATTGAATTTATTTCCCACCCTGGTGCGAAATAAAGTCAATTGACATTATTACCTTTTCAAAAGCGAAATAAAGTCAACAAAAAGTTGGAAATAAAGTCATTGACGCTATTTCCTCGTTCAAATGGAAAAAGCGTCAACAATGCTTAAAGTATGTCGATTCATAGAAAAAATGTTGTTCTTACAATAAACATTGCCCCGAAAGTGTTGTTTTTTAATAGACGAAAAAGGTTATTGCCAAATCCTCAGTGTTGTGATATTAATCCACACACAATCATGAACTACCACCAATTGATTTTATTGAAAAAATTTAAATTACGAATATGTAAAGACACGATGCAAAAAACTAAACGCCTGCGCACAGCTGGAATACGAGAAATATTTGAAGAAAGAGTGTAGAAATGATCCATAACATGCAAAACATTTTTCGTTTCTACAAAAATAAAGCGAACACTATTCAATTGAAGAAACAGTCCATGTTCAAAAACCCCGGAGGAACACTGAAAGAATTCTGTGTTTTAAATTAGCATATTTTGAACGAATTCGGAATGTCTAAGGTGGAAAAGAAACCAACTTTTGCATAAGGAAACAATTATAGAAAAAGAATTTTCTTACACTGTATTCATGTCTCCGCCAGAAATTTGTGACGTCATCATTTAACAGCAGCTAAGGAGAATGACGACACTATTTATTAGATGGCACATTCAACGAGCCAATGTGCCAAAATGCGGGTATAAACAATTATTGATTATTTAATATCGGAACCGAGATCATATAAGTTAATTGATTGGTTTTCACACACTTTTGAAACACAAATTATATGCTTTTTTACTGCAGACAAGCTGTTGCCCCAAAACACAGCAGAAATCTTCCAATCAGGGCTGGCAACTATCCTTAGTTATGAGGTGCCATATTGAGGATAAGAAAGTGCCAAAATGTGCCAAATAGAAAAATAAAAGTGCCAAAAAAGGTGTCATTCCGTTTAATTATTCACATTTAGCAATAAAATAAAGCTACATTTTCCAAACAAAAGTGTAATGATAAAATAAGATAAACCAGTTGAATAGCTTTTATAAATTAGAAAATTTTAGTTGAGAAAAAGCAGTGCACGCAAAGGATTTCACAAAAATGTATTGAAATGTAATTTTTTTTTGTAAAAGTGCCATTTTGGCACTTTGTGCCAAATTGAAAAATTAAGTGCCATTTGAAGTAAAATAGGGACAAATGGCACGGTTTGAGCCAAGTTGGCATCCCTGCTTCTAATAACTTACAAATATAAAAATGTGAAATATCGAGGGCTTGAATTCATTAATACCCTCTATCTGCAATTTGCACAAAAACTAATTTGTGATTTTAGAAACCATCTGGGACTTATTACCTGTCGTTATATAAGGTAGCATTAATATCACTGATGACAGTTAAAGCTTAGGTGGATTTTTATATCAGAATCTCATCTTTGTGAAAAGTGTGCAGATAGAGGGTATTTTATTGAATATAAGCCCTCGATGTTTAAAATATATAAACATTTTATTTCAACGTATACAAAAAATAAATCTACCTGCGTTACAGTACGGCGGGAGACGGGGAGGGGGCGCCGGGGGCCGCGGCGTAGCGTGACGTGGTGTGCGCGCCGGTCGCGCGGAGTACGCGGGGCGCGAGCGCGGCGCGCGCGTTGTGGCGTGCTGACGCGGGCCGCCGCGAAGCTAAGAAAATTTAATGTTTGAAAGAGAAATAATGTCAATGGATTTTATTTCGTTTTTAAAAAGGTAATAATGTCAATTGACTTTATTTCGCACCAGGGTGGGAAATAAAGTCAATTGACCTTATTTCCGTTGATCTTATTACCTGTCACCGACTATCCAACTCTTGCACGGTTAAGTAGCTGCTATAACAACAATAAGAATGTACCGGCAAACCAAAAACGGCATTCACGGAGATCCCATCTCCACTTTCGGAGACTCACGCCCCATGATGACAGTCATTGGACACCAATCAACACCAATCGCAGAAAAAAGCTACGAATCAGCTGTTGATAAACATAGTTTACCAGATTAACAAAAGAAAGATGAAAAGGACCAACTAGCAGGTGTGAAGACCCTTAATGTTTTTATGAAAATGAAATAGTTCACTTGAGGGATTTGAACTACTTTGAGCGAAAAACTTTGTACGATTTATTATGATTTTCTTTTTTAAATCGCGTTCGTGCAAGCAAAATTTGCCTGCAAAGGGAAATCGAGAGCGCAAAGTGACTGATGGGGAAAATTTTTTCTAACTCTCTGATACTTTTAGTGGTGAATAATTCTTACTCGACTTTTCGATGAACGGACCTTTTATTACGGATCGCAATCACGAACCAAACATACAAGATCGCGCATGAACGCGACGTTGTATTTGTAACTGGTTTGTAAAAGCGGGTTTGTCAGCTGAACATTTCTTTACATCACCACTATTTTACACTTTTATTTAAGTAAAGAAGAGTCAATTCAACATGACAACACGTTTTAAAGCATCTTAATGAATCATTTTAACTAAATTGTGTGTTTAAAATGGCTGACAATAGGGTTGGTTAGGTTTGTTCCAAACGAGCCCGCGTGTGCCAAAACAGCCCAGAAAGCGTTCCTCACGCTATAGAAATGGCTAACAGAGAGCGAATACGTTCCAATTTCGGATCCTAAATGCCTTCTCTTCGTGCTGGAAACAGCCCGGAATTTTTTTTCCGGGCACAAATGTGCAAATAGTCAAATTGCCATAACAGCTGTTGTGGAAATGGAAAATGCCACAGAAGTTTTAGAAAATGTAGTTATTTTTAATTTTATTAGCCATATAAGATAAATACACACAAGATCATTGTTTAGAGCTGATTTGCTGGGTACTTTTGACACGTGTTGGCACATTTTTGACACTTTTGAGAGAGTAACTTATTTTTACGCTCTAATTACTGAAACAGCCCGGAAAGCGTGAGGAACAAAGCTAATAACCTTGGTTAATTTTTGTTCGTTCGTTTTCCAGTGAAACAAGAGGGCGTAGAACCCGCTCGAAAATCGACATTTTTCACTCACTTCTTCTTGCGGGATCTTGTGTTGTTCGTTCATGGATCGCAATTTATGTTGCTGTTAGTTGTGTTTTTTTACAAATTATCCAGTAACTTGCCAGCAACTCTCCAGTAACTTTATTTCTAAGAATTCGCTCTCATAGAAAAAATTTGCAATAAAGTACGCGAACGCTTTTCCAGTAATAATTTGCAAGTTTCATGAACAGCTGATAAATTGGTTGTTTATTCGCAGCAAATTCCTAATAAAACAATATATTTTGTATTTAAATAGGTTTATTTTATGAAATTCAACAATAAAAATCCACAAACAGTTATTAGTTTAGATTTCATCCAGCAACATGCGATCAGCTGTTTTTCGTACTGGCAAATTCTTACAAGTAAAAATTTAAGGCCTGTATGCAGCTCTCAAGAAAAGCAAAAACTCCATATAAAATGACGTACAAGAAATGGCTAAGAAATTTTCTTGAGTCAAATTTCCTTAAGGCAGTACGCAGTTCTTAAGAAATTTACTACGCTTTCTACTACGGTTTTCTAAAGGTTTGTGAAAAAAGAGCACAAGGCAACCCAGGTTTCCAACAGAAATATATGCCTATTCCATTATTTCTTGAGGAAAGAGTGAGGCAACAGGCTGTGAGGTATCAAAAATGTCAAAATTCCTTGGACACACACGCGAAATAATGGCAATTTTTTCTTGACCGTTTTCTTGAGAGCTGCATACAGGGCTTTATCCAGTAAAAACTTGCAACTTCAACTGTCATTTTTCGCTCTCTCAATATCCCCTGCTTTGCAAGTTTTTGCGTACGAAAACGCCAAAACATGAAAATTCGTA